TGAAAGGTAGACTTTGGCTCGGGTTTCCGGTATCAATCCGCCGGAGTCCGATTGCCATGCCTCGTTAAATGCTTCGTCCGCCTGAGTCCCGAGCCACACCGCCAGCATGACGTCATTTCCCGGCGGGTTATTCTGATCAGCGGTAACACCTTCTAAACTGTACCATTGAGGAGCTAACGGACTGTCCGGCGGCACTCTTTTTGGCACTTCCTGCAAATCGAACGACACCGTTCCAATGCTATTCTCATCAGTTTTATCATCGGCAACCTTCTTTTCGACCCAAACAGAGACTTCTAAGGATGTTGAGTTTAATCCCTCTTTGTCGAATGCGAAAACTTGATCCCACTCTTTGTTATCCGCGAGTGATTTGGTTTTTATACTGTGAGTTCCGATCACGAGCTTTGCGTAAGCGGAGGAATCAGGCTCTTGATTGGCCCGTTTCGCCTTCACAATTCGAACGTAGAGGAATGGCATTTGATCGACAAGATCGAACGCCCCTGTTCGACGATCCACACTACTGGAGAGATTCTTATGAAGGACTTTGAGTTCACTTGTATTTTCATTTGTTATCGGCTTTTTGTTAGGCGGTTTGTGTTGAGCTATCGGAGGATGTTCCAGTACTTCTGGTTGTGGTGTTGGTGTTGGTGTTGGTGCTTCGTCTTTTTTCTGATTCTCTGGTGGCTTTTCTTCTTTCTTTTCGTCGGGTTTCTTCTCCTCTTCCTTCTTCTTCTCCGACGACTCCTCTTTCTTTTCATCAGAAGGAGGAGCAGCCGCGGGTTTCTCCTCGGGTGGCTTTTCATCTCCCTGTGGCGGCGGAGGATTTTCAGCCGCCGCCGCAGCAACTTCCTCCTTCTTTTCCTCCGTTGGAGGAGGAGCCTCTTCGTCTACGTACCAAATCTTAAGCCCAATCTCGCCTTTAATTTGAGAAAAGACGCTCCGTTTTTCCAAGGGATAATAGACAAGAGGAATTTCGGAGCCAAGTTTGAGGAAAGTAGTAGCAGATATTTTGACTTTACCGAGGAAATTGCTCCTCTTACCGGCTTTTTTGTCGTTGTAAATGTTGAGTTCAAGAGTCTGAGAGGGCATGGAGTGAAGGTCGTGGAGCAAGAACTCGAGATGCTCGTCCCATTGGGGATTGAGATCTCTGAACTTAGTCTTGGTGCGACGACGTTGGCCGTCGAAATCGACGATGACAAAGGCGCTGGCTGTGCCTTGTCCATCTTTGGGCATCAAATTTCGGGCATTGCAAACTTGTACTATCAGTTTTCTAGTGCAAATAGAATCACCCATTTGAGAAGAAATTATTTTACCGGTTAATCGGAGAAGAAAGAATGGTGGATATGAGAAAGTAGGGAGAGTGAGTGGGTCAGTGGAGCCTTTTAAAGTGGGGGGAAAGGAGCCTCTTTTTCACTTTGCCATTTTTTATTTATTTTTTTTTTTTTTTTGCTCTCTCCTAGTATTTGTTTTTACATATTTGAAAGTGGGGTGGGTACTGGTCATTAAAATGCTACTTTTCCGTTGAGGTTATGACAAATATGGAAATATATTTTACCTACCTCTTTTTTATTTGAAAGAAACTGTTTTATAATGTCTTTTATTTTTCAGAGAAATAAAACCAATAAAGGTAATTAAACCATAGATAAAGGTAAATTTTGGATGGTTAAAGGTTCATAGAAGACATCGTGGTCTGTAAAAATTACTACAAAATGAAAAAAAAAACCGTCGGTTTTATATGGGCTAAAAATTATCTTAGTTTAAGTTCAGATCATATCAGCATTAAGAGACTCTTCAAGAACTGTCATGTGTCACAAAATGACTTCGACAAAAGGCATATTCAGGGTCAAAGTAATCTCATAAGAGATGAAGGGCGGGATCGAGGAGTCAATGTAGATCAAGGTCGAGGACGAACACTTATCTTAAATAGAGTAATAACGGTTAGTTTTAGGGTAAGACTTTAAAGAGAACATTCCAATGAATATTCTCTATATCTGTACTATTAGAGTTTTTTGGCACATGTTCCTTTATAAATAGAAAGAGACATAGTTATAAGGGACATATAATATTTATTTGTAAGACAATACATTAACTTTCTCTAAAGAATCTTGCTTTATTACACACATACAAAATATATTCTTTTCTTGAGATTCTTGTCTAGCTCTTCCCCCACGATACAAGAAGAATTCGAATATTCAAAAACTCATCAATCATTCATCATTGTCAGAAAGATTACCCACGAATCTTACCCTTTTTGGGTGACTCACATGTTCTTATTTACTTAAATGTCATTCATTGTTATTTAATGTTATCTCCTTTATTTTTGGGTCATTGAATATTGACAGTGTTATCATCATTTATTGCTACTTAGAGAATATACGTACTATCTTGCTACAAAATCGGTTAATATATCTTTTGGACATTAATATTGGCTAAGATTAACTCTATTTTATTAATCTAATTATTTAAATAAGGATCTAAATTTTGGGTCAAACAAGTTTTCATTCGATCTACTTTTACATGAGACTTATGTTTTAGTTTTTTTCATCACCTTTACAGAAATCGCCTAAATTCTTGAAATTTTAGAAACAAAATTACATGCGTTAAGCTATGGTGAAAGTATATCAGGTAACTAATATTTTAATTTTGAAAGAGTAATAAGCATGTTAGGAATATTTGGAGTAATTTTTATAGGTAATCATTTAACTTTGTGTTCATTACGCAAAAATTATTTTTCTTCTTTTTGTTACGTAAAAATTATTTAATTTTGTGTTCATTACTCAAAAGTCACGTTTCTTTTTTTTAGTTACACAAAAATCATTTTACTTTGGTCTATTTATCACAAAAGTCACATTGGCCAAATTTTATAATATTTTTACTTGAAAAGTCTATTATGCCCTTGCCATTATAAATCTCCTCATTTATATAACACCTTCTATATACTATATACTATATTTTTACCTAGGTATTTTACTTATAATTAAAATAACTTTATATTATTTTATTTAATATTTTTTATAATATATATTCCGTGGCACTCAATTTGTTTAACCATATTCAAACATGAACATATTTTAAATATAAAAACAACAAAAATGTATATTTTTTAATATTTATTTGAAATTATAAAAATAGATTTGTTTAACAAATGATAGTTTTTTATAGTTAATAAGAATTTTATAAAAAAATTTGAAGTATATTTGTGTTTAATTAAGTTTTTTAAAGCTTTATCTATTAATATTATTTATTTGAAAGTATTAATCGGACGTGTCATTGTGCTAAATGTAAGTATTTTATTTATTGGATTAATGGGTATGGCTTGACCGATAAACCAGTGAGCTTTGATTTTATAATTTTCAATAAAAATATTTCATTAAGCATGATTAAGAACGTGGACTTGAGATTTGTTCACGGTAATATTACCGACAAATTTAATAATGCTACTTATATATCTTGAAAATTAATGTTAAGAAAAAATTAAATGTACGAATATATTATAAAATAATATTAAGTTATTCTAATTATAAGTAAAGTACTTAGGTAAAAATATATTATATAGCATATAATATAGAAGGTGTTGCATAAATGAGAGGATTTATAATGTGAAGGGCATAATAGACTTTTCAGGTGAAAGGTTTGTAAAATGTGGTTAAAATGACTATTGTGATAACTAGAGCATAGTAAAATGATTTTTGTGTAACAAAAGAAAAAAAATTGACTTTTGGATAATGAATGCAAAATTGAATGACTTTTACGTAACGAAAGAAAGCAAAGTGACTTTTGGATAAAAACACAAAGTTGAATCACCGTCCATGAAAATTACTCAAATATTTGGTAGTCAATTACATGAATCATAAATCAATATCAACTGTTTTATTTTATGACATTTCTTCTAAATCGTTTCACATTGCTCCTTATATAGTAGTTTAGACGTATTTAAATTCGAACATAAGACCTCTAATTCAGAGTAAAAAAATCTTTACCCTTCCATCAGACTCTTAATTTTAGCGTCTTCTTATAAGTAATATATGCAACTTGCATATTGTAATCTCATTGAATAGTTGGTTTTAAGAAAATAAAAAGAATACAAGTCCCTAAAGACTTCTTTAGCAAAATGTCAAAATACATGTGCTCATGTGTCATAACTCATAGGTGAAAAGGGGGGAAAACTGTGAAATTAATTATGTTTGGAACCGTTGATTTATGTACGATCTTTTCATTAATTATCATCCTAAAATTAAAAAGGATAAAAATAGAACATAGAAAAAAGAAAACACGTAGGCATAAACATAAAGAATCTACGTGGCAGGCATGGAGTTGCGAGAATTGATGTAGACAGATGGTATCAACGCTCCTATATATCCTTACTGCCAATTCTGAGCACCTTGTCTCCTGCTGAATTTATATTATTCTATTTTCTCTTCTTCTTCTTTTTTTAATTTAGAACATTTTTAAAACAAATTTTGGTTTAATTATGCAATTTTTGGAATGTTAATTCATGAAATTTGCATGTGAAAAATCATGAAACCAAGGTTGTTAAATTTGGTGGATTGCCACTTTTATGTACTTGGTCATGATAAACTCATGAAAAGTCATGCAAATTGTACGCAATACGACGATTAGGGGGAAAAAAGGAATTGAAACAAATTTAGAAAAAAGTACTAATTTCTTCTAGACTTATTGTTTTGGTAGCTAAGTGAAAAGTAAAATTTTAATTTTGACTGTATATTTGGACATAAAATCCCTAAGTTTTTCAAAATAAAATTACATATTTAAAAATTATGTAAAAAATATTATAAGTCGAAATATTTATAGACATATTTAAAAATTACCATGAAACAATAATCCGTTTAACTCTAGAGATCCAAACCGTCATAAAAATTCGGACGAAGGAAGTATTCTTTTGGTGTAGGTGCTAGTTATTCTCGTCCAAAATGTGGATAAGTTGATGATTATTTAACACTATAGCTTACTTTTTATTTATGGTTCAACATTAATCTAACAGTAAAATCAAGCGATGAGATTTGATTAGTTGAAGAAAATGCAAGAAGAAATGACTTATGTTTATTTGTCCTTCCTTTTTTTCTTTTACTGATGCCAATTAGCTTTAAATAAATCCATTATACTCAGTCTATTCTATATTATGTGACAACCTTTCGTTTTTAATATGTTCTAATAAGAGTATTAAATTTTCTTAATTAAAAATATTTACTTCTCGTTTACCTTTTATTGATATATTTTTATAATTATAAAATATCATGACATATTTAAGATTAGAAATTCTAAAAGTCCTTTTTTTTATTTCTTAAGCCGTATGCGCCTAGTCTAACACTGTAAGAAATTACTTTTGTATTGCAAGAATAGATATCACAATTTTCTAATAGTATGGTAAAAAGAAAAGTAAAGAAAGTATGGTAATTATAACATCACTGCAATTACCCTCTAAAGAAAGAAACCAATAAAGCCGTTAATAAGATTATCATTAAGTATGGACTATGGTGTAAGTGTGAGTGCTAAGCCACACCGTCTTTCATTCAGTAAATAAAAAAGGAAATGAGGAAGAAAACAATATTCATTTTGGCAGCTTTAACCCTTTTCACAGATTTCTATCTTTTCTTTAATTCCCACTTGCGAAAGCAGATGAAAAAATGAACGTTGCTTTGTTCTTGTGCTCCATTATTGTCATTTATTAAACATACTATAAACAAAAAAACTCACTGAATCAGAGAATATACAGTAAGATGAATTTTCTTTTGGGTTGGGCAGAGAGTTTAAATCGTCATATCTTTGATGAATCTAGTGTCTCGTGCGACGTTAAATAAATATATAATCACGAATGCTCACTAATTAAAAAATTTGTTTTAATCGTACGTACACTTTAGGTTTATAACGCCATTAGCTAATTTAAGTAAAAACATTAGTGTCTAATATTGTATAAGACTTCCAGTAAAACACTTTTGATTATTAATACAGCATTTAGTTTGTGACATAAGACCTGATTTCCCAACAATCATGTTAATAACACCAACCAAATGAAAATTCCTTTTATTCTTCTCCAAACCAACTTTTTTATACTAAAATTAAGCCATCTTTAACACAGCTCAAAAATTAGATGGAAATAAGTAGCTCCCCTCTTCAAGAAAAACACATCAGAATTTGATTATACATAACAACAGGCTTTCTCAAGCAAGATAGATAGCTCATAGGAGAGAACTCGTAATCTACTTATATCAATCACTACGTGGATCTACTGTTGTCACTGTTAGCTCTCTGCTTTCTATTTGGAGATGTCTTCAAAAAACCTACAGGACACAAATAGTGTGAGGGTCTCAACTCTCAAATCATTCATCTTTCCAAAGAGATTAACAGAAAACAAGTTGAAACAAATGATATCTAGAGTTCAAGTACGTGGCCTATTAAAGCTATAGCCTATGAAAAAGAGCACGACTACCATATTGATGAAGCCGAAAGTTGGTAAACAGAACTTCATGTTCTGTGCACATTCTGATAAAATGTGTGCAGAAATGAGTATGCACCCATGCTTTGGAAGCTAAAAACAAATTGGGAATGGAAAACAAGGATTGACCAGGACAACGATTTCAGAAATATCATGTAATGTGATTCAGACAATTAATTTACAGGGTTATGACTAATGACCAAATGAATTTTGGAGAACTTACATCTCCATAATTCTCTTCCTCTTATCACTGCAAATGTAGGAGCTCAGTTGTTCAACCTCCATATTGGCAAAAGTCTTGTCTAGATCATAATTCAACAGATTACATGCACCTAAATTTGCTGAGGACTCGTCTGCACCAGGTATACACGAGAGATCTTTAAGTTTTCCTTTAAGATTCTCCATCAAAATGAAACCTGCAGAATACACATTATAAGATACTCTAATAATGAAGTGATCAAAACTTCACCTAAAAGATGTGTGATTCATGTCATTTACGTAGATTCTTTCGGCAAGTTTAACTAGTAATAATTATACTGAAGAAGACTTTAGTAGGTTAAAATCATTGGCAGAAAGAAAAGGCAAACTGAAATAACAGGTGTGAGTTTTTACAAAATATCGAGGGAATTAAAAGCTGATGCCATTAAGGCATATATGGTAAAGCTTTTTGAAGTTACAATAATGCTAGAAATGGATAAAAGTTCTTAGGTTAAATAGGTGGCCAGAGAAGAAGGGAGAGGATGATAAAACAAGGAAAGATATTCATGCAGGATAAATTACACAACACAAGAAGAAATAAGCTAAGAGGGAACCCCATTAGGGGCAGAAAATCCACAATAAGTTAAAAATTCTTTAAAGGTTCAACTTTAAGGAAATGCCAAAACTACATTGTGTGTCTTTTTTTTTTTTGACTGATGGTGGTGTCCCAATCAATTTGCGCGCACCTCGATTAATTCAATGGGTACCTCCTACATCCAACTAGCATAGGTACCAGGTAACAGTGCAACCAAAACTTAGGCAAATGGGAAGAAATCACCTAGAGATTTTTGCCTATGTTGGTTTGGACAGCTGCACAGCTGCAGTGATGCAATGAGGACTTCTTCTGACTTCCACTTTCCCACAGCCAAGTTAGTTGAATGCAACTAAACCCATTGACCTCATATTACAAATCTTGTAAGCTATCATGCTTCAATAACGTACTAACAAATTGCATAACTGACAAAGCAGATAAGGTAAAGCTGAGAAACCATTGCACGCATCAACAAAGAATCCTCCATCAAATCAAGGATGAGAGATCCAAAAGGAGGTTCCTCCATGATCCAAATAGAGTAATACTGTTGGAATGTGTTTTTCAGAAGAGTGGTAAAAGAGTCCTAGTTCCAAGTGTCTAACTTCTAGGTTCTCCTAATATTATGGTATAAATGACTTGGAAACAACAAAAGGTCATGAAAATTATGTTAGTAGTATTACTATGTTCATAGATTCATTAAAATGCTAAGAATTTATCACCAAGAAGAATGGTGCAAAGGAATTGAGGGACTTCAGGCCTATAAGCCTAATAGGGAGCATTTACAAGATTATTGCAAAAGTCCTGACTGAGAGGCTGAAAAAGGTGATGGGAAATTAATAGATTCTCAACAAATGGCATTCATAAAAGGAAGGCAAATAATGGATGCCATACTAATAGCCAATGAAGCAATAGACTCAAGACAAAAATAGAAGAAGCCTGGTATCCTTTGCAAACTAGATATTGAGAAAGCATTTGACCATGTGAATTGGAATTTCTTAATAAACATGCTACAACAAATGGGATTTGGAGTGCACTGGATTAAATGGGTGAAATTCTGTATATCTACTGTCAAATTCTCAGTCATTATTAATGGTTCTCCAGAAGGATTCTTTCCTACTGAGAGAGGTCTCAGGCAGGGTGATCCCTTGTCACCTTTTCTTTTCATAATAGCCATGGAAGGTTTGAACAACATGATCAAAAAAGCCAAACTCAATGGGTGGATTAAAGGCTTTGAGGTAGCCAGGAATGGACATAACAACCAGGAGATTACACATCTTCAATATGCTGATGACACCTTGATCTTCTGTGATGCAGAAGTGGAACAACTAAGAGTTTTGAGGATTATACTGGTTCTTTTTGAAGGAATTTCTAGGCTACACATTAATTGGAGAAAGAGTCATCTCTTCCCGATCAATGAAGTACCAAACATGGAGGATTTGGCACTGATCCTGAAGGGAGAAGTGGGGACTATCCCTACCACTTATCTGGGTATGCCACTGGGGGCTAAGTCAAAATCCACTGCAATATGGAATGTACTGGAGAAATGTGAGAAAAAGCTGTCAAGATGGAAATGTCAATATTTGTCAATGGGAGGAAGGCTCACTCTGATCAACTCGGTATTAGACTCACTGCCAACCTATATGATGTCCCTTTTTCCCATTCATGCGGGAATCATTCAAAGGTTGGATAACATAAGGAATTTTTTGTGGCAAGGCAAAAAGGAAAAAAAGGCCTATCACCTAGTCAAGTGGAAAGAGGTAACTCTCGGCAAAGCGCAAGGTGGATTGGGAATTAGAAACTTGAAGAATCACAGCAAAGCCCTTAAACTAAAATGGCTATGGAGGTACTCTCAAGACCCTTAAAGTTTATGGAGCAAGGTAATCAAAGCCAAATATGAAGTAGAAGACAACTGGATGACTAAACCAGTGCCTATGGTGCTAGTCTTTAGAGATCCATAAGGGTATTATGGCCAGCTCTAAAAAAACAAGTCTATTAAAGTGCTAAATGGTAGCAGGACATCATTCTGGAATGACAATTGGCTGAGAAATGGAGCTCTGAAGGATTTATGCTCTGACATATATGCTCTAGCTCATCACCAACAGAGATCTATAGCTGAAATGTGGTCACCTCAAGGTTGAGAACTAATACTCAGAAGAGACTTGAGTGATTGGAAGATAAATAGAATGATTGAGTTCTATAAACAACTGGACAACTTCACAGGAATTCAGAATGGAGATGACATATTGAGATGGCAGGGACAAAGCAGTGGAAAATTCAGTGTCAATGCAACCTACAAAACGATAAAAACCAACCAATACCTCAAGTCACCAACTGGCCCTGGAAACATATTTGGAAGACCAAGATACCATATAAGGTAGCATGTTTCTCATGGCTACTGGCAAAGGAAGTTGTGCTCACACATGAAAACTTAAACAAGAGGAAGTGGACTCTATGCTCAAGATGTTTTTGTGAAAATGAAGTGGAAACAGTTGGTCACCTATTTTTGCATTGTACGATAACTGATCAGTTATGGAAGATCTTCATTAATCTCAGAGGCATAGCTTGGACAATGCCTGGAAAGATTACTGAAGCTCTCTTTAGTTGGGAAGCAGCTGGAGTTGGGGCAGACAACAAAAACCGATGGAGAATGGTCCCTGCTGGTATTTGGTGGACAATTTGGAAAGAAAGGAACTCTAGATGTTTCGAGAACAACAACACATTGCAAGAGATCAAACTTAAATGTATTAAGCTTTTTTGTTTTTGGTGCAACAAGATATACCCAGAGGATACTATTTCTATCTTAGACACGTTAGGTTCTTGTTAGACATGTAGACTGGTTTACTCTTTTTGCTCACTTGTATATATGGTTTAAGTACAACCCATGTACTGTTTTGTGTTTTATACATACAACATGTTACCTTCTCAAAAAAAAAAAAAAGGGAAGCAGAACCTAAATACCACTATACCAGTCGGAAGCTAGAATCTTCTTTCTTTATTCTACTGGCTTCTTAGCTTGCAATAGTACCGCAAAAGTTGGAAACTGCTTTCGTAGAAGGGCAGCAAAACCGAAGATAAGCTATACCAGCTGAGTGCCAAAACCTTATTTCTTTATTCTACTGGTTTCTTTCAGCAGCTCCTCATCAAATCTTTCCTTGAAAGTCCGCTCACTCGCAAAATTGATGTTGCACCAAAATTTAACTGAGAGTTACTCTTGACTATCTGTTACAGTAACACGTCTTATCTCTTAATTGTAAAAGCCTATGGAGAGCAGGGAACATTCATCTAATATTAGCATTCCTCTTCTTTTAATTCATGAGACTGCATACCAAACTTTTCAATCTCAAGTTAAAAAGGAGGATCTGATTCTACTCACATCATTATACCTATATGTTTTGCACTATTGTCAAAGGCGAAAAAGTATAGAAAAGAGCTCAAGGCCTTATGTGGCTTTAAATGAACAACACATTCAAATGGACTTCAGTAACTAAAGGTGCAATGATAAACAATCTTTAAAAAATGGAAAGCTAGAAAAAATAACTAAAAGCAAAAAACATTTATATGAGCAAAGTAATTGAAAATACAACTAAGTGAAATATATTAAGTAAAAGAACATGTAAATAAAGTGCATAGACAGATTTAAAATTTTGATTTAGATGAAAAAATGCAGTTTTAAATTTCTCATTCAGGTTTACTGACTAGTTGTCTTATATTAAATTCTTTTCCTTAATAAGTTACAAATTCATTAATAATATTTCCTCCTTAATCAATAAATCTCTTTGTTGGATATATTTATTATTTAGGACAGTTCTCTTAAAGATAGAGCGCATGGATGATGAGGCACATGCCTTAACACTTGATACCTACATTAGTACGCTAACTGAGTGAGACAAAGCGCCCCCCTTGAGCTTCACCTAGCTTTAGGGCTTAAGCGCGCCTCAAATGAACCTTAATAATACTGATGTTTTCAGTCTATCAAGCTTTTGAAATCAGTCTATTTAACATTTCCCATTTACACACAATAAAAGCACTCGTTTCCAATTTGATTTGTCACTTTCAGTTTCTACAAAAACGTGGTTTTGCTTTCAAGTTCTTGTGATTTTTTGGCATCCTCCTCTTAAGAGGGTATAAAAAATAAAAATAAAGGGTCCTATGTCAGCACCTTCTTATGGTTCAAAGGGAAATAGTGTTGAAAGAAATTCTTTTTAATTTCATAAGTGCAAATGAGACAGATAGCTATTCTTTTTACAGTTGGATTTAAGCTGTAACCATTTGTTCATATGAAATAGGTGTAATAGCATATTCGAGTGTTATCACATAAAACAAATAAACAGGTATTCTCAATTTCAAAACATATGTTGCTTCACATCACTGTCAAACACCCAATTTTAGCTGGAATGAAATAATAACCATCTACTTATATGTTACGAGAGAATTAAGGCGCTCGTTGGTGGGAGTAGCAATCAAAGCTCAAAGGATCACACCTAGCCTTTGGGTAACTCCGAACTGAAAGATAACTTTTAGAATTTCTATAAATTACTTTGTGAAGCGGCGACTGAATGGATGCACTACCTCACACAGTCACACTTATTTAGTTACTCTTTGAGGCAGTCACTGGACTCCATATAA